AATGGCCAGACTTCGTCTCACCTATTTTGGTCATGTTGTCAGAAGGGACCATTCCCTGGAGAAGGATGTCATGCTTGGTAGGGTGGAGGGTCGGCGAAAGAGGGGGAGGCCTTCAACGAGATGGATTGATACAGTGGCCGTGATGATGGGCTCAAGTATAGCAGGGATTGTGGGGCTGGTGCGGGATCGGGCAGTGTTTTGTTCTGCTGTGCATGGGGTCGCCATGAGTCAGAAACGACTTGACGGCACTTAACAACAAGAACAACATGCAGAGGTCCTTGTGGACTTTCTATAATCAATACAAAATACTTATGTGTAACCTCAACATTCTTTTGAATATATGGCTAAATTTTATAATTTTTTTTCACCAAAAGAGAATACACATGAGTAGGGATGGATTACTCAAAAAGCAAGGTAAACACATTCTTAAATGTATCAGGGAGCTCTGGTGGCATAGTGCCTAAGGCATTTGACTGCTAACCAGACGGCTTGAGAAGTTCAAACCCACCAGCCACACAAGATTGGGCAATTCACTTCTGTGTAGAGATACTGCCTCGGAAACCCAAGGAGGGGTCACTATGAGTCACAATACATGGACATTAGTTGTCCAATGCAAAGACCCATAGATGCCAAGCAGGCAGGACACAAGGAAAAGTGAGTACCATAGTGGAAGAGAACGGGCAGGGCACTAAATGAAACTAATACCAACTCCATCGTGTGAGAATGTGCCAGTCGGAAATATACAGTTCACCTACGGTCACAAGGGAAAATATATGCACAGTTGTTTAAGCTGTGAGATCCCTACCACTCTAATACCTTTGTTGACAACTGTCTCTCATGGTCCCCTCTCATATAACTGAAACTTCTTATCTCAGCCAGTCTCTCAGGAGTATATTATTTCTTTCTAATAAGCAAGAGGTGGGAGTTGGCTGTTGAGTCTAATTCTTGCTACATTCACCCAATATGCAACTGGATCCAACATGAGTGATCACTAGGCAAGGATGGGTTATATTAATTGATAATAGGGCTGTGATCCATTTTGAGAGAACCACCTTGTACATCATATCTACTGACTGAGCAACTCCAGCCCAGAGGGCCAGCAATACTCTTTGTCATGATACAAACACAAGGGCATGCTCCTGTGCATGTCCTTGTAAACAACCAATGAGAATTCCAGTCCCAGATGACACGCAAAAGCAAGGGAACTCAAATAAGTCAACCATTGCAATGAATTCAATTAAGTTATTTTTTAGCAGTATAGCATTTATGAACAGTTTTATAAACAAGAATATTTATAATTTTAACTTTAAAATATGTTTGGCATACATGCAGGTACAACCTAGTATTCATTTAAATAATACTAACATGGGTGATAATATAATACTAACATAGCAAACATCTGAAAAATACTGGAAATACTAGTATTTATCTAACATGAAAAGTTTTAATTTATGTATCATGTCAGTTTCATTTTTATTATCTGTTGCACAGGACAACAGTGCTTGATATTACTCATTTATTCTTTTATAATTATAGTGTCTATTATGAAACAAGCATCAAAATTGATGTATGAACTGTTTAAAGCAAAATTAGTGAAAGTCATTTTTTCATTGTGGGAGATCAACCGAATTTTATATTGCTCATCGGAACAACTAAGTTAACTGACTCATTTTCTTTGTTGTAGAATATGTGGAATATTCTTTTTGTAGAAAATGTGGTGTACAGTAAAAATATTAGAAGACTGCATCTACTAAAATTTTATAATCCAGCTCATCACATTTTGCTGAAATGGTATATGCCACTTTTGTATTCAATCTCTAACTTCTTAGTCAAATTTAAAAAGAAATTACATCATGGATTGCTAACACATACAGATGCACACATATACATGGACAACTCACACATCCCATTCAAATGCATGAGTAAGCAGGGGAGGGGGCACCACAGATTATCACTGTTTAGGACCCTCACATGCCTTAATCCAGCCCTGCACATGAGTCTTAAATTGCAATCAATCTATTCAGCAAAAACATTTCTTCTAAAACAATACAAATCACCCCGTCCAGCCTGAATCATGAAAGATTTTGATCTACAAGCACTGACAAATAAGATTCTGGTATAAGTATTAATAAAACCAAATCACAACTGATCAATTTGCTCACCTCAAATGACCTTTCTGCTTTCCCGTTTAGTTTTCCAAGTTCTTCCTTCAATTTTTCATTTTCATGACTCAAGGCTATTAGGCGCTCTTTGGCTTCTTTGCTCTGTATCTCAAAGAACTGGCGTTCTTCCTTTTGTTTTTCTGTCCAAGCTGAAAGCTCCTCAAACCGCCCCTTCATAGCTTGATTATTTAGCTTCATGGCTTCTGTATGGAGTTAAGAGGGAGGCTGTCACACACCAGGGGAGTGGACTTCATTTGATGAATCAAACATCCCTTTATATCTCTTTACTACTTAGCTCTGAATCTAAAGATGCCATGCTTGGCATGGGTCCAAGGGTCAGCAGGACAAAGACTTGATGGTGATTTTTGCTTCCATACAGGGCTAGTAGGTCTAATATCATTTCTAGTTCTCAAAAGCCCTAAGGAAACAGAATTGATGTTCAGCACAGAAAACTTAGTAATTAAGGGACTGAGGAAGGTCTTATCACTCTTGGATTCAAACACTTGTTCTGCCAAAAGCCATTGATTCAAGATATTAGAATGCTTTCTCTTAACAAGTTAATATCTAAGACTAATTCTGTACTTTTATCCTTCTTTTAAAAAGGAGCCCTGGTGGCGCAGTGGTTAAATACTTAGCTACTAAGCAAAAGATTGGCAGTTCAAAGCAGCCACTCCTTGTAAGAAAGATGTGGCAGTCCGCTTCCATAAAGATCCCCCTTCCACCCCCACACCCACAAAAAAAAACCAAACACATCACAGTAGAGTTGAATCCAGCTCATAGTGACCCTATAGGACAGAGCAGAACTGCCTCATACAGTTTCCAAAGCTATAATCTTTAAGGAACAGACTGACACACCTTCCCCTGTGGTGGGTTCAAGCCACAGACCTTTTGGTTTACAGCTGAGTGCTTTAACCACTGTGTCACCAGGGTTCCTTCCACAAAGATTGTAGCCCAGGAAGCCTCACAGGGCAGTTCTAGTGTGTCCTATAGGGTTACTATGAGTTGGAATCAACTCAAGGCTGACTGCTTTTTTCCTTCTTTTTCTTTTTAAATGGGCTAAAAGCCATTATGCTATTTCCCTGAGATAAATACAGTGCTTTTTATTCTTACCCTATCTGAAAGTAAACAGTGAAGCAGTTTTAGCCATACCAAAAGCTAAATTATGCTCCTTCTCTCCCTAGGGAAACAGATAGAGAAAAAGGAGTTCACCTACAAGCCATTTAACAAAGGGATTACATTTCATGAAGGCCTAGGTGTGTGAAGCAACAAGGGGCCAACTACTGCTCACCTTTCAGCTGATGGTTCTCAACAAGGAGCTCTTTCATCTGCTGCAGTAGCTCCTCTGGGGTGAACGTGTCCAGGTTTGGATGAGCCAGATTAGGGGGTCCATTTCCTGTGCTTTCATTGGGGCTGTCTCCTTTTTCAGTCAGACAGCTGAGTGGTTGGTGGGACATGGCAGCAGTTCCTATGGAAAAGTCACAAATTGAAAATATAGCTGTCTCCCTTTGCAAGGGGGTCTTCATGACTCCTAAAAATCTTTTGTTGTTGTTGTCAGATCCAACTCATAGCGACCCCTCCTTGGGTTTCTAAGGCAGTATCACTATGGAAGTAGATTGCCTCATCTTCCTTCCAAGGAGTGGCTGGTAGGTTTGAACCACCAGCCTTCTGGTTAGCAGTCAAGTGCCTTACACACTATGCTACCAGAGCTCATTCCAAGTGTTACCTATTTTATTTCCAATTATATTTTGAACATATTTCATTCTTCCTTTTAAACAAAAAAGGAACATCCCAGCTTCAGGGAAATGTGTGCACATGTGTGTGTTGGTGGGTATGGTGTATAAAGGATCATAGTGAGGAGTTTAGGAAACACAGGAGGAAGAGGGGGGATATCATGATGATCAGGAACCCCAACACGAGGAATTCAAGAGAGTTTCCTATAACATAGACCTTACATATACATATATTGTAGATATAATATCATTCAATCAATTTTCCCACCTAAATCTCTAAGTCAAATTCCATATTTGGGTGAATTATATAGTATATGAATTATACCTCAATAAAGCTGTTTACAAGTCTTCATATTTTACTTCTGATATTTTAGGTTAAGAGAAAAGGGAAAACTGACATATTTTTTTGAATGCTAACTATGTGCTGATAAATGTACTGTACATGTCATTGTCTCTAATCTTCATTAAAACTCAACTACATAGCTGTTCTATGGGGCATGAATCTGGCTTCACAGAGGTTTATAGCTTGCCATAGGTCACTTAGTAAGTGGCATAACCCGGTATCAAGGATGTTTCTGAAACCAACCTTGCAATATAATAAAGGTAGTATTTAATACTTAGTATTATATAATTATATTATACTATTATGTAATATTACATAGTTATATATCATATAATTTTTCAAAGCAAACAAAAAAAGACTGAAAAGTCTTCATTAATTCTTGCATATTCTGAAAATATTTCCACACATATCACTTTATTTTGTAAAAGGGCCAATGTGAGCATATATATATAAGATAGAAGAAAATATTACAACTCCACCTCTGTATTACCTATCACTTGGGCAGATGGAAATCTCTTCCAATGACTGGCTATGTACTATAAGCAAAATATTTTCATATTCACTGTTCTGAAAATGATGACAAACCTTTCCCATAAAGAACTAAAGTAGACAGATTGTAAGGCAATATACAGGTTAAGGCAACTCCTACCCCTCTATACCTGCACTGCGCACACACATACACACATGCACACACGCATTGTTCTGTTGTAAAGGTAAAAAGTTGCAAATGTTGAGAGATAACTGAAAAAAGAAAATTATCAACTCCAAAAGGCTTAGTCTAGGGAGTCCTTTGAACAGAAAACCAAAAGTAGCAAATAACAATCGACCATTAATACACAAGATGACATAGCCCAGAAACCACAGCTATGGATATATACAAAGTAAAATGAGCTTACAAGAGTGTAAACAGGGAACCAGAGACATCACTTGACAAGGGGGGACAACTACAAACACAAAGAGGGAAAAGACTGTGTAGATACAGAACTTGGATTGGATAAGAAAACAAAACCCATCAATATGCTGCCTACAAGAGACACACCTTACAGATAAAGGCAAAAATAGACTAAAAATCAAAGGTTGGAAAAAGATATACCAAGCAAATGGCAACTGTAAGAGAGCAGGAATGGCAATATGGCAATTCCTTCAAAAGTTGGAATTAAAAATACCATTTGACCCAGCCACTCCATTACTAGATATATATTCTAAAGAAGCAACAGCCATGACAAGAACAGAAATATGCCCATCCATGTTCATTGCAACACTATTTACAATAGCCAAAACATGGAAACAACCTAGGTGTCCATCAATTGAGGAATGGATAACCAGATTATTGTACATACACACAATGGAATACTATGCAACACTAAAGAATAATGTAGAATCTGCAAAACACCGTATAATGTAGATGAACTTGGAGGACATTATGCTGAGTGAAATAAGTCAATCACAAAAGGACAAATATTGTATTAGTCCGTTATTGTAAAAGTTAAGGAAAGTTTATCTATACAAGGAAATTTTCTTTGTTGGTTACCAGGGGTTGGAGGGGAGGGGAGGGAACGCTGTTAGATAGATAGAGATAAGTATTGATTTGGGTGAAGAAAAGGCAATGTACCAAATGTGAGTGACCAATATGGCAGCACTGAGGAAGAGAAAGACATAGAGAGGTACATGGGAGGTACAGACAACAAGGATGAAACCTTTTGCACACAGAGTACTGCATTGTCAGTGAAGGCAAACATGGGTATATGGGTGGATAGATGGGTGGACAGGCTGAACTATTAGGTATATCTGTGAAATGGGGAGTGTATCCAAGAACATGTATAGGGTTGGCAGACAATGGTCCTATAAGTTTATGTGAATGATCAGAATTCCCAGGTGTATAGTAGAGTTGACAA